TCGACATTAGAGCAGAATGATCAACGTCCTCTACACACCTGCCTCAGACTGAACACCTCAAATGTTCATCTGTCTCCTAATTTGTAGAAAATGAGTCTTTATGGGACATCCTGTACAAAGTGCTCTGTCTCATTAAATCTCCTCCCCCTGTATGATTTGTTAATTTACTGCTGCTGTATTGGACCATTAAACGCCTCCTTCCTCCCTCCAGTTTCAAAGAGAAGCTCCAGGCGGCGGTGCGCGTCCTCGCCCCAAAGTGTGACATCACCTTCCTCGACTCCGAAGACGACAGTGGGAAGGGCGCTGCCATGGTAACGGCGGTGGAGCAGCGGCGAAGTAAATAGGAGGCAACACTTTGAGGCAGAGCAAATGGATTTTTTACCTTCGAACACAAGAGTGTGAATCTTACATCCAGCTGCAGTTGTTCATGTTATGTTAACACAGGTGGGGGAAGCATTTAGATATTTTAATACATTTAAAGTTGTACTTGAATAGAAGTGTAATAAAAGTGTAATAATCAGAATATATAGCACCAAAAGTAAAAGTACTCACTATGCACAACAGCCACTTTTAGAATTAGAATTAAGGTGTCTGGTGGAGGTATTTTTATTACTTTATATTTTGCTGTGCAGCTTGTGAATTTCCACCAGGGATCAATAAAGTCTTATATAAAATATCCTTTTTTAAAACAATCAGCCATCATCATTTGACATCAATCATTTATTTGTTGATTAGATTTTACATTACTGAGAACATGTTTAGGTGAGTGTCAGTCGTAGCTATGTTTGACTGGAGATATCTGATTTAATGACATGAATATGAACAATATCAGTCTGAATGTTACTGCCAACAAAGCTAAAGCCTTCACTGTGACAACAAATGTACATTTAAAAATGAATAACGTCAAATTAAGTAGTCACTGTTTCTTTTGCTGTGTATTATTAGCTGTACTGACAACTGTCACTGAATTACTGAGAAACTGTTAAAATCTTACAAACATAATAACTCTCAGGAAACTTTGAACTGCTCCCATAGAGGTCGGTACGCTATCAATATGCTAAGAATGCTTGTGACAAGGTAGTAGACACTAGTTGCTATTCCAGTCCCAGTAGTGCCTAGTTTCAGGATGTTCGTGACAAACCAAGGAATGCTATTGGCTAGTTTAGGAATGTTCGTCCCTCCAGGGATGCTAGTGACTAGCATAGGCTAGCATAGGATGCTAGTGACTAGCCAATAAATGCTGGCCGCTACCTCAGGGATTCTAGTACCTAGCCTAGTAAATACCGGTGATTAGTCTCAATATATAAGACACCTAATCACAAGCCTCATTAAGCTAGCCACTAGCCTAGGAAGGCTAGTCAAACTAGCGGATGGATGTTAGTTGCTTGTCTAGGATTGGTAATGCTTAGCCCAGGAATCCTAGCCCCTACCCTAGTTGTTTAGAAAACTAGCCCAGACTAGTTTTGGAATGGTAGTGACCAGTGTAGGAGTGCTAATGCCTCCAGGGCAGCATTCCTAGGTTACTCACCACCATTGCTAAGCTAGGAGTGCTACTAATGACCCCATTTTATGATTTTAGCAAGTCACCCAGTCTAGCATAGAGGTGCTAAGTATTAGCTGATGAATGCTTGTTGCAAGCCTACGGCTAGTTGCTAGCCTAGGGCTAGTCACTAGCTTTTCTAGGCTAGCCAAAGCCTTCCTGGCTAGTGGCTAGCCTAGGAATGCTACTGACTAGCAGAGGGATTCTCGTCACAATCCTCTTAATGGTAGGCGCTAGCTTAGGAATGTTAGACGCTACCTCAGGCCTATATTTGATTACATTGTGCAAAATGAAGTAGCTGAATTAGCTACCAACAGCTAACAGTCATGATTACCTGATTCGGATTCACACTCACAGCCCTGATCCGGATTATGAGACGGTTTTCTCATAATTCTGAATAATGTGCAACAAACCAACGGAGCAGGAATAGAAACAGTTCAGAAGTTGCATAAGTTGAACATTTTTGAAGTTTTCTTCAGCATCACAGTGATTCAGTGATCGTTGTCAGTTCATACAGTTGTACAAAGCAAACAGCAGCTGTGTGCATCGTTTTCTAAATTGTAAATAAATATAAAACCAGATTCATGTTATCATTAGATTGGGCTTAACTTTCTCTCGTTATTACAAGGCCTGTAATATTTGTGAAAGCAGTGTGTTTCCACAGGACGCAGACTGAACAGCAATGATAACAGATCACATTACAGGTCAATTCTGCAGCTCTGATGCACAGGGAAGCGTGTTGTGCTGCGAATACGTT